ATATTTTTCTTTTATTTATTTAACTATTGTATGAAAGTTGAACAACATTGTATAAAAATTATATTTAAGTTGTATGATATTGTAGTTGTATAAAACTGAGTAGAAATAATTTATGAAAATTATAGATAAGATGTATAACATATAATTAGTTGTATGAAATTTATTTTTACTATGTATAAATTAGATACAAAATATACAATAGACATATTGTATAAATTTTGTATAAAATTTGTATTTAAGTTGTATGTTATTGTAGTTGTATTTAACTGGGTAGAAATAATGTGTGAAAGTTGTAAATAAGTTGTAGATAAATTGTATAATATATAATTAGTTGTATGAAATTATTTTTACATGTATAAGATACAAAAGACATATTGTATAAAGTTTGTATAAAATTTGTATTTAAGTTGTATGTTATTGTAGTTGTATTTAACTGGATACCTTTAAAGACTTGCACAGAAACATTTTTTTCTTAGGAAAAACTTCTACTGTACAAATTGGTTGGATCATCAATCCAATGGAGATTTAACTTTACGCGTAAATTGTCTGAAAATAGAGAACTATATGTTTGATCTCTTTATATTTTTGAACTGGGGAGTTGCTTCCTTAGACATTCTGAGCTCAAACAGAGAGCTAATTACTCTTTGAATCTGAAATTAATACTACTTATTCAAGAAGATTAAAGGTGCATGAGAGAACTACTACATTCTTAAGATCAAGACCCTTAGCAGTAAACTTGGCAACAATTTTATCCAGAGGCTCAAAGGGTGAAGGTAATTGTTCATTTGCTACTTTATCACTTGCAGTTAGTCCATCTCGTCGACCAAGTAACACTGGCCAATATGATCCTCCTGACTGAAAACGAAAAAAGGAAAATTATCAATATTTGGTTTTTTTCTAGGCATTATAATACGCATAGCTTTAGAGGGCACAAGACTTAATGATATTTTTTTTATGGTGTGAAGTCATGTGTATTTTCTTGTAGTTCGTTCAATAATTCATAACATAATGCATGTGCTTCACATATATTAGTATTTTTTATATATTTGGTAATTATAATTTACTTTAATAGAATTTGAATTTATGACGTGTGCCTACCACTTATGTCTTACCAAATCTTAACATATAACGCATATCCTTCACATATATTAGCATTTTCAATATTTTGGTAACTACATCTTATTTTAATATAGTCAAACCGGTCGTTTGGTTGAAAAGATGTTGATTAGTTATCTCACGATTAATTATTTTATATTTTTATGGGGATAAAAACCAAATTTATATGGGTGGTGAAAATTAGATTTTTAACAAGCTTAAATATGTGGATTTAAATTTCGAATTTGATTTTGTGAGAAATTTGGAGTGGGTGTTATTTAGACTTGTTAGAAATAGTATAAGGAGGTTGTATATAAAATTTAAAGTCATTTAATGGAGATTTAGACTGGTTTTGAACAAGAATTGCAACTGAAAATCGTGGAAGAAGTTCGTTTACAGACGCTTGTATAAAGGTGTATAAAAGTGTATAATAGTGTATAAGGTGTGTTTCTACACTCATATACACTATTATACAAGATTATACATAATTATACATAATTATACAAAAAAAACTGACTTCGTCTTCTTCCTTGCGTCTCATTGTGGGATTGAATATCAGAATCCGTGGACAGTCAGTTAGTGTTAAATCTGACAAAATTAATAACAGTTGAAAAAAAAAGGTAGTAAAACCATTACAGAATACAGCCAAAAATCCAGGCCCCTGAATAAAAAATTTGAAGGAATAAAAAAATGATCAGTTTCAGTGCCTAATCTAGAAGATGAAACCACTATCATAGAACAACACAACAAAAAATTGCCATTTTAGTGCTTGTACCTCTTCTGAAATTTAACTCAAATCTTGCTCAAATCTACTCCAAATCACTTCAAATTTAAATTTTGAACTCCTTTTGATATTTTCAATCAATTGGAATAACACACCAATCCAAACAATTAACAAATTCAAAAAAATACATTTTCGAAAGCAAAACTTTGAATGGTCTTCAATGGTGGACTTCTACTCTTCATATTTCTTACATTGCAACAAGGTGACACAAGAGGAGAACCAGAAAATACACAGCCCCTTGAAGTATAATTAGAAGATGTGAGAAGAAGAGAGAGTGAAAGCAATGGTTGTGAGAACACATATTTAACACCATAGCTTTTAGAAGCAATGATTGTAAGAACAAAGATTTTGAATTTGCTAGTGCTCTCAAAATATGAACAATGTGGGCTCGGTCGGGTAAAACTTAAAAACATGAGCCGTTTTTTGTTATGGTGTGAAGTCATGGTGTATTTTCTTGTAATTCTTTCAATAATTAGTTCATAACATAACGCATGTGCTTCACATATATTAGTATTTTTATATATTTGGTAGCTATAATTTACTTTAATAGAATTTGAATTTATGATGCGTGCCTACCACTTAATTATACTATAATTTTCTCCCAACCAAATATTAAATAAACTTTTTTTAAATTTAATTCGAAATTAATTATTTCTTATTACTTATACCAAACGAGTAATTAAAGCCTACTCCATTTTCACCCTGGAGCACAGCAATTAAAGCCTATCCCCGACCCCACTAAACCCCAGAACAAATGTCTTCTTCCGTCGCCTTGCGTCACACGCGCCACCTCTCAACCGCCGCAGGGGCCGCCGCTGCTTCGTCAACTTCCACCACCACCATCTCTATCTCCAAAGCAAAATCAAAGCTCAAAGCCGAGCACGATCCTGACAAAGCCCTAGAGATTTACTCCTCCGTTTCCGACCGTTACATTTCCACTTTATCCTCCCGTTATGCTCAGGAATACACAGTCAAGCGCCTCGCTAAATCCCACCGTTTCTCCGACATTGAAAGTTTCCTCGAATCCCACAAGAATAGCTCACAAATTACTCAAGAGCCTTATCTTTCATCCATAATTCGTTCATATGGAGTCGCCGGAATGTTCGATCACGCGCTTAATATTTATCACGAGATGGATGATTTAGGCACCCCCAGATCAGCAATTTCTTTCAATGTGCTTTTATCAGCTTGTGTGCACTCGAAACAGTGTCCCCCAGCTGTTTGATGAAATTCCTGTAAAGTATGGATTTTGACCTGATAAAGTCTCATATGGTATATTAATTAGGTCATATTGTGAAAATGGATCGCCAGGAATGGCAATGGAAAGACTTAAGGAAATGGAAGAGAAAGACGTTGAGATTACTGCTGTTACTTTCACTACTATATTGCACTTGTTAAAAAAATATATTTCAACTAAATTGTTTTTCATAAATTAAACATCTTCAAAATTTGTTTTTGATCTATGTGTTTGTATTGGGAAAAAACTGAATTTAAATATTGAAGATGACGTGTCATGACACGTGGACCGGTCAAATAGTCAAAGCGTGATAATCAGTTAGAAGGCACGAGCAACAACAGATGCGGGAGAGAAGATACTCAAAGGCACGAGCTATTATTCAAATGAAATGAGACTCGTACTTGTTCGAGTCATTTAAAGCTCGAAGATCAGAAGGAATTGAAGACATGAATCTGATAGCGAAAAAGAGTCCAAATTCAATATTAAATGCCAAATACGTTAGAGAATTTGTATTTAATATGAATGATTGAGTAACGTTTCTTTTAATGTCATTTATTGCTCGTAATTGCCTCATTAAGACAAAGACATTACACTTTCTCTTAAAATTAACTATAAAAAGGAGAGAGTCACAACATCTGTAGGACACGAGAAAATATTACTGGAATAAACTTTGTTTTTTTTTTGCTTTCTGATTATATCATTCAAAATCTCTTTCTTATATACTTTTCCGATTATCAGTAACCCGAGTTCTTCTAAATTCAAGCTTTGACCTAAAATCTAATTTTTGGTTAAACAAATTGGTTCCCTTACCGGGAATCTGATAATCAAGCATATCTCAACCTAATTTTCTTGATTGTATCAATCATGTCGAACAACAATGACAACACTCAAGGAAACCCAGAAATTCAGACAATCCAACAACTTCAGGGAGATTCTCCACAAGGCTCTCCACAAGGTTCTCCACGAGGCTCCCCACGACGGTCTCGTGAAGGCACTCCTGATGGATCTCACACAGATGGACAGGCTCAATTCGAAAATGTTGAAACCATGAATGAGGCTCTGCAAAAACTTATTGCCTCTCAAGTCAATAACGCTCTTCAAGCTTTTGTTAGCCAATTACCTGCTGTTCCACCCACATCTACTCCAAACAACAACACTTTGGAGAATCCTCGTTCAGGATTGGTTAATTCAGGCAGCGGTGGAACCCCTAGTGAAACACAAGAGAGAGACCCAGGTAATCCAGTTAACTCTGATTTACAAAATCTAGTACTAACCTTACAGAAACAGCTTAAGGAGCAAAATGAACGCATAGAGCAAATACCTGAAGTACCGCCCGTGATCAAGGGAGTGGATATAAATAAATATTCCCAACAACCATGGAAGCCAAGTGCTGCTCCCCTCCCAATTCCAAAGAAGTTTAAGATGCCTGATATTCCAAAGTACGATGGTACATCAGATCTACGAGATCACGTTACTGCATTCACAACAGGTGTCAAGGGCAATGATTTGACTAAGCAAGAGATTGAGTCGGTCTTGGTCAAAAAATTCGGTGAAACACTCACTAAAGGAGCCTTAACATGGTATTCTCTTTTACCCGAAAATTCTATTCGTTTGCTGAGCTTGCAGATTTATTTATCAAAGCACACTCGGGAGCTCAAAAAGTTGAAAAGCGAATGGAAGATATCTTCAAAATCAAGCAAGGAGACTCAGAGTTACTTAGAGAGTTTGTAGATAGATTTCAACGGGAAAGAATGACGCTGCCACGAGTACCTGACAATTGGGCAGCCATAGCCTTTGCTAGTAATTTGAATGAGAAGAGTTCAGAAGCCACGAGGCGACTCAAAGAAAGCCTTCGAGAATTCCCAGCAACAACGTGGAATGATGTCTACAACAGATACAGTACAAAGATGAGGATTGAAGAAGACATTATTTTACGACATAAAACAGAAGAAAGTAAGCTCAAGGCGTGTGGAAAATGAAAAGAGATCCGGTAAAAATAGGTACGAACCATACATGGGACCTGCGGGAAAGGATTCACGATCAAGGCAAGATAATCAAAGGTACGATCACAAACCTAGGAACAGGGAATCAGGCTCCTCATCAAGGTTCGGGAATGATCGAAACACACGCGGGTCACGAGACGATGATGGAAGTCTAAAGGCAAGGTTCGGTGGTTACAACTTCAATGTAAGCACCTCTGAACTCGTGGCTGTTTTAAGGAGCATGGGAGATAAGGTACGATGGCCAAAGGAAATGCGATCAAATCTGAACAGACGAAACCCTGATCATTGGTGCGAATTTCATAACGATCATGGGCATAAAACAACAGATTGCAGGTTTCTACAAGGTGAAGTNTTATTAAACATAAATGAATAGAAGATACAACTTAATGGCATTAGAAATTGTTAATTACTACCCGACCGGGGTGTCACAAGTCACGAGCATCTAAGGAAACCTTAACACAACTACAGGCCAATAAATATATACAAGTTAAATGTCTGGAAAACAAAGACAACATCGGTGCCGCGAACGCTGGCGGTCACCTTGCTCAGCTACAATAACAATACCTTCAATCCGCTAATAACCCGCTACCGGGTGAACGATACTGCAACTGCACGCGAGGTGCAGGGAGTAAAGTGAGTACTTCCAACTCAGTGAGTAATAAACATATATAATGTCTGAAAGTAAGAAATTCCGAAATATTACAATATAAAGCTATAATCAGCGATTCAGCACATAAAACGGTGGAACAACGACAATACCAGGACAAGTAAGACAAATAGGTATAAATGCATGAATGCAATGCAATGCACATGACCGCTGCGGCGCGCAGCCCGATCCATTTGGGTACCCGCGCTCACTGTGGGGGTTCAGACTCCGGAGGGGCTCCTACAGCCCAAGCGCAATATCATCGTAGCATTCGCTGCGGCGTGCAGCCCGATCCACACTCAGTCCAGATATATATATTCATGCAAGCCACTCGGGCACAGTCAAATTGTTCATTTCTAGTTTCAATTATTAGGAATTATTGAGCTAAGTGTTTAAACCTTTATTTATTTACTAAATATTTCGAGGCATAGTCTAACTCAGGACTGATATCATGAAATATGCTAAGCATCATGGAAGGAGTGATAAGGATCCCTGAAGGATGCAAATGATAGGCACAAAGCCCCAAACATATTCATAAAATCCAAGTAGGATGATTACCAAACAATTTCTGGTCAAGAACACAGTACGAACATCAATCGGAACGGACTAGGTCACAATCCCCAGTCACAATCGACCCCGCACTCGTCATAGAGTACGTGTCTCGCCTCAATATAGCGTCACAATGTGATATACCGGGGTTTCAAACCCTCAGGTCATCATCTACATCTATTACTCACCTCTAGCCGGCCGAAGACTAGCTCGCAATGCCCTTTCCTCTCGAATCGACCTCCTCGCGCGTCGAATCTGGCCAAAACCACAACGAATACGTTACAATGTGCCAAAGAAACATAACCCAATCGAAAAGACTCGAAAAATATCGAAAATCGCAAAATTAGCAAAACCCGAGCCCCGGGCCCACTTCTCGAAATCCAGAAAACTTTACATCAAAACGATCCTTATCTCGCCACGAGTCTATACATATCAAACTCACAAGAATCGGAGTCCATTTGGTCCCTCAAATCATCAATTTAAGCTCTCTTAAGTTTCAAGCCCTAACCTCCATTTTTAGCATTTAATCCCTTAAATTTCAGTGTTCAATCCATGATTTTACACTATATAAACATAATCCGAGTCCAATAGTTCATACCTAATGAAGCCCCTTCGAATTCTCTTCAAAATCGCCCAAGAAACCGCCTAAGCCGAAGTCCAAAATATTTTTCTTCTCTTTCCAATTCGTGAATCACTGTTCACTTAAACCCAGACCGTTTTTCCGCTTCTGCAGTTAATATGCCACACCTGCGGTCACCGCGTATGCGACTAAACGATCGCTTCTGCGATCTCACTTAATTTTCCCCGGACCGCTTATGCGGTCTAGAACCGCTTCTGCGGTCGCCGCATTTGCGGATCCACGTCCGCTTCTGCGGAAAACCCTGGTCCCTCAAGGACCGCTTCTGCGACCAATAGGCCGCTTATGCGGTCCCTTTTCCGCAGATGCGGAAAAGACTGAACCAGCAAACTTCAAACATGCAACAAACTCCGAATTCTCCGTTTAACCACCCGAATTCACCCCGAGGGCCCCGGGACCTCAGCCAAAGGCACCAACATATCCCAATACATCATACGAACTTGCTCCAATCATCAAAACACAACTAACAACACTAAAATCCTCAATTCACATCGGATTCAAGCCTAAGTTCTTCAAGAACTTTCGAAATGCACTTTCGATCAAAAACCTGACCAAACAATGTCCGAATGACCTGAAAATTTGCACACATATCCAAAATCACTTAACGAAGCTACAGCAACTCTCGGAATTCCATTCCGACCCCCGGATCAAATTCTCACCCATCCACCGGAATTCGCCAAAATACTAACCTCGCCAATTCAAGCCTAATTCTACACCGGGCATCCAAAATCAATTCTGATCGCACTCCCAAGTCGCAAATCGTCCCCTGAAGCTAACCGAATCACCGGAAATCACATCCGAGCCTTCTAACTCATAAGTCAACGTTCGGTTGACCTTTCCAACTTAAGCCTTCCTTAAAGAGACTAAGTGTCTCATTTCCTAGCCAAACCAATTCAATTCAACTATAACTCACTTGTTGTTGATAATGAAACATGAAGAAGCAGTAAATGGGGGAAACGGGGCTGTAATACATGAGACGACGGGTTGGGTCGTCACAGGAGTATGAAGCTGTAATTGCAGGTTTAGAATTGGCACGAGAACTTGGTATAAATCAAGTAGTGATCAAAAGTGACTCGCAGCTCGTGGTTAATCAAATGCTGGGGACTTACACAGCTAGGGAAGCAAGGATGCCGCAGTACTTGGAAAAGGTACG